GTTCTGGGTTCTCATCCAACCTCGTGTAGTTTTTTTTGTATTTATTTCTCATTAAAACCAAAGATGTTCATCAGTGATTGTATATCAAGAGCAAGGATGAAGAATGAAGCGCTCGGTCGTCTGTGTGAAGACTGTGCATTGTGCACGAGCGCCAAGAGAGAACTGATAACAGCGGCAACGAGTACGCGCCATAATACATATTACAGCGATAGATCGCCTGTTATTTAACTCAGAGCAATTCATTTCTTATTGAATGGAGATGCTTCTTTCTTTTAGGTACATCTGTGCATGCCGCAAGATGTTGCAAAAAGTGGTGGGTTCGTGGGACACATCCCACCAGCAAATTACGCTGGAGAGACGCACGCAAAGAGAACTGTTCAATTTAATATAACTGATACGATTCTGATTTTAGTCGGTTTAAATTAAGTAGGTTAGGCAGAAATTTGCTTATATGGGTTCCCTTCTAGACACGAGTGCTGTGTGTTTGTATGTGCTTCATAACTGTGCAGCCCAGGGGCCCGTCATAATAGCCTGCACTGGGGCCCGTCATTACTATGTTACACCACTGCCATTGTCCATGAGCAACTATTGACATTGTGTCTCAAATCTGGCTCTGATTATAAAATCAGCTTTGATTATAAAAATACGTTTTTAAATCTCATCTTGGTGAGATGTATTATCGGAAGATTTGGAGTGATAACTTATATTTACATGCATTTTATTTAACCCCTGTGTGTCGTTTTAAATTAAGTACAGAGAGGTCTTTAGAGAGACAAGTGTCAATGTCAAAAAATGGTAATAAAATATTACATACAGTATTATAATTGTTTTTTCTTTCAATAACACAAATCTTTTACTAAATCACTCCTGATCATAACTACCCCTTTTAACCCCTTAAATGCCCCCCCCCCCTTTTTTTGAGGGGGGCAGTGTCAGATTATTATTATTATTATTAATAAAAACAGAAATAAATGCAAAACTAACCATATAAATACAAAATAACCCATAAGGGTTAAGTAGTCTATTATACTGTTATGAAGATGTTATTGATTAATATTAAAATCTATTAGAATTCATCATACCTTATTTTTGGCCATTTTCTCCATATGATACTGTATGAGGCATAACAGCCTAATGCATAATTTTGATACTCAAAAAAAAAAATTGGCAACAAATAAAGTCTTGCTGTTAAACCAGTTAAGAAGCTTGGCTAAGGAACCATCATCCAAAACACATCATGATGACCGACATGCTAGTGTTTTGAGCAGGGATCTCTTTGCCCTGCAGGTGACATCCATAGTCTTGAATTGTTACTGTGGAAGGCCGAGAAGACAAAAAAAAAAACCTGTGTTGTTAATCTAAATATTTAATAAGGTTGCAGGTACCCAACCTGTAGAAACACTGGAGTTTTCTATCTCTCTCTTTTTTTTTGTTTCTTTTCCCCTTGTTAGCCACATGCTGTACTATATTTTTAGGCACTCAGGTCTGTCAGTCAGAACTGTGGCTCTTTTCATAACCACTGTCCAAAAGAATGAGACCAAAGCCCAGGCTGCAAGAAAAGACAGAACGATACAAAGAAAGGCAATACAATTCATCGTCCAACCACCAGGACAGGTCACAGCAATGAAATGTCACAGAAAGCCAAGAAAACGTAACAGCGGCCTTGTTGTAGGAGGAAGAAAGGACATCGCGTTGTGATAAAAATGCATCAATCCATGATGGTTGGATTGCAGTATTTTGTAAGACCAGAGTCTGAACCCCTTCGCGAGTTTCATCATGTTAGGGGGAAGGACGCAGTGAAGCGTGCACCAAGCAGCTGGTTTCATTAACCTCCTGTCCAACCCTGGAGAGAAGGAAGCAGGGTAAGGCGATGTAAATGGTGACCTTCTAAATATGCAGCCAGATATCAGCGAGTGAACGCCTCCCTGCTCTTGCGATTCAAAGAGAGGGAGGGAATGTAATAGCAGACAGCGATGAAACTAGGCCACTTGTTTCAACAGTTGAGTCACCTTGGCAATACTGACTTTGAGCCTCTGGGGTGTGAATTTACCCGTGTTATGGGATGTGATAGGATGGTTTGTATGCTGTCATATATGCATTTAACTTCTTATATCATTTCTGGTAACAATTACATTGTAATGATAGATGTGTAACAATTGATCTGTTTTGTCAAATGGCTATTCAGCCTGTAATTGCTCCAACCTCAGTACAGAGCCTATACCTCCATTAAAAATGAACAATGGATTTTCAAACAATGGACTTCATCTATTTTAATAGTTATTGTGTTTTTCAGACAATCATCATGTTCATTTTGTAGTAGTTGGCTAATTCAGTGATTGTGTGCTGTGCCTTTTGAAGCACGCCAACTGTGCCAGCATGAAACCAAAATGGTCTTTATTTACTTTCTTAATACACATTCTGAGTCTTACTGTGTTTCATATGTTATTGACATTATTTGGTAGAAAAAAAGTTGTTTGTATTTGTTGTGTTTCAGAACAAAAGTCGTCTTTCACAACTGACTACAAACATGTATACGTGTATGCCAACTTAGGCTCATTGAATTTTTTTTTTTTTCAAAACTCCAAAATTGTACATATACATATGATTCACTGCAAAGTTCGTTGCAAAGTTCCTTGCAAAACAGTATATGTGACCCTTGAGCACAAAACATATATTTGTCGCAATAGCCAACAATATTTTCTTTTAATATATTTTCGATATTTTCAAAATTTTTCTTTTATGCCAAAAATCATTAGGATATAAAATAAAGATCATGTTCCATGAAGATATTTTGTACATTTCCAACTGTAAATATGTGACCCTGGACCATAAAACCAGTCATAAGGGTCCATTTTTCGAAATTGAGATTTATACATGACCTGAAATCTGAATAAATAAGCTTTCAAGCATTGATGTATGGTTTGTTAGGATAGGACAATATTCGGCCGAGATACAACTATTTGAAAATCCGGAATCTGAGGGTGCAAAAAAATCTAAATATTGAGAAAATCGCCTTAAAAGTTGTCCAAATGAAGATCTTAGCAATGCATATTACTAATCAAATATTAAGTTGTAATATATTTACAGTAGGACATTGACAAAATATCTTCATGGAACATGATCTTTACTTAATATCCTAATGATTTTTGGCATAAAAAAATCTATCATCCAGGTGGTTGCTGCACACTGGTGGTGGATGAGAAGATACCCCCCCACAATGTAAAGCGCTTTGAGTGCCTAGAAAAGCGCTATATAAAATGTAATGAATTATTATTATTATTTTGATCCATACAATGTATTTTTGGCTATTGCTACAAATATACCCCAGCGACTTAAGACTGGTTTTGATTAGTAATATGCATTGCTAAGAACTTCATTTGGACAACTTTAAAGAGAGGATGTATAAATCTCAATTTAAAAAAAAAAGAAATTACCCTTATGACTGGTTTTGTGGTCCAGGGTCACATATTATGTATGACCGCAGTGCATTTTTACCATAGTGTACGATTAGAAAATGAATAAATTTTTTCATCTTCAACACGTAACCAGCTCCAAATTTATGGCTTTTCTGACATAGTAAACTTACTCGGTACCCCACCTGGTACTGCATTGTACTTTTGATGTGGAGCACTGTGGTACAAGTCCCGTGAAACACAAGACATGATAAGAAAGCTAAGATGGCATGGTTGCTTTGGCAAATAGGTTGTTATATCACGTTTGCTTTTATTAACACTATCAATTAGGTTTAGGGTAGGGTTTAGTATAGATGGTACTCAGCGCTGGGTAGTAACTGATTACATGTAATCCGAATTGCATGATCAGATCAAAAAATGTAAGTATTTGTTATTAGATCCCCAGCGACTTAAGACTGGTTTTGATTAGTAATATGCATTGCTAAGAACTTCATTTGGACAACTTTAAAGAGAGGATGTATAAATCTCAATTTAAAAAAAAAGAAATTACCCTTATGACTGGTTTTGTGGTCCAGGGTCACATATTATGTATGACCGCAGTGCATTTTTACCATAGTGCACGATTAGAAAATTAATAAATTTTTACATCTACATCACGTAACCAGCTCCAAATTTATGGCTTTTCTGACATAGTAAACTTACTCGGTACCCCACCTGGTACTGCATTGTACTTTTGATGTGGAGCACTGTGGTACAAGTCCCGTGAAACACAAGACATGATAAGAAAGCTAAGATGGCATGGTTGCTTTGGCAAATAGGTTGTTATATCACGTTTGCTTTTATTAACACTATCAATTAGGTTTAGGGTAGGGTTTAGTATAGATGGTACTCAGCGCTGGGTAGTAACTGATTACATGTAATCCGAATTGCATGATCAGATCAAAAAATATAAGTATTTGTTATTAGATTATATTACATTTTAAAATGCTCATAATTAGATTACAGTTACTTTTATATGGATTACTTGATTACGTGTTATTCACACAATGGCAGCAAATTATTTATACAGTAATTTATTGATTCACCCTAATTATTTTTTCCTTTTCTTTTAAAGTTTCCTATTATCTATTATTTTCAAATGCAATAGAGCTTCAATCTCCATTGCAGTGCACTTACTGATCATGTAGTTACTGCTGTGATATTTACAACAACCAAACAAACACAAGATTCATTCATTTAATCTGTTTTTTTGATAAAACTGAATTTACTTTCAGCGCCACTGACTGGACATTGCATGCAGGGAGCAATGTCGTTTGGCAGAATTCTCACCACAGGCACATTTTTCAATGAGCGTGGGTTGACGATACAATTACAAATAATTAATTTCTGATGGATAGTCAGGAACTTCCTAACATATCTTTATTGTTAAATATCTGGTTTACTTTGAAAATCTGTTGCATTAGGCAAGTAAAACAGGTTGCCAGTATGGTCTCATGTTGATTTTCAAAGAATATTATTGACTAGACTGTCACTGTTCAATGTTTCTGAACACTTCTTCGATCCTAATTTTTGTTTCCTGTCCTCTAGAGAGCTGACCTTGCTGTGGCTCCTCTCACAATCACCTTTATGCGAGAGAAAGCTATTGACTTCTCCAAACCTTTCTTGAACACTGGCATCAGTATCCTGTACCGCAGACCCAACAGCACCAACTCTGGCTTCTTCTCCTTCCTGAACCCCATGACCCCTGATATCTGGGTATACATCCTGTTGGCCTACCTGGGAGTCAGCTGTGTACTCTTCGTCATCGCCAGGTGAGCGACAACCAATTGTTCCTGTGGCCTGTGCACCTGGGACTATTAACCTTCATGGTACCTTCCGATATTTGCTTTGAATTCACTTGGTAAAGCATAAAAGTGCAAACAGTAAAGTGTTATTAGTGGTGTTTGCTAAGGCTAAGGGACCAAACCATACCTTGTGAATAGACTATCAATGAGACTTGCTGGTGGGATTTTTGTGGCCATTGAAAAAACCTCTTAACAACCACCCAGAATGCTGTAGCAACTGAATAGTACACATGCACTTTAGGTGCACAATGCACATGAAAAAAAAAATATTCAGAACATCTTAAGAACTGCATAGCATCACCATAACAACCAAAAACAGCATCCTTACATAATGACAGCAAGTTTTACACAGGTAAGCATCACACACATTTTTATCAGAAAATTAAAAAAAATTAAGTCTATTTTCAAATGACCTGGAGTTTAAGTGGTCAAAAATTTTAAACCTTATAAAAGCTGTAGCATCAAGCTGTTTGCAGACGGCTCTGGGTTTAATATTTTGTTATTCAGATTCATACATCTGTAAATGTAGCTCGTACAAATGTTTTCATTACACGGTATATTAAATATAGATAATACACAACCCATTCTCACTCAGATACTGCCGCTATATTAACACCAAAACTTTGCACCAAATGTTTACTGACATACCCGGTAAGCCCGTTGGTTTTAATACTTTACATCAGTTTTCTTAAAGTTTCTTAAATTATCGAAATGTATTTTAGGTAAGAAAGATTTTTAAGGCACCTAAGCTCATCCTTGCTCCTAAACCTAACCACTTCTTAAGAATATCAGCCATGTAACAAGCAGATACATGTCCTATGTAAAAGTAGTTAATAGGAAAAGTCCCATGCTCTTCACGTCAGTCTGTTTACACCAAATGTTTCTCATTGAAAGCAGCAGGCTCTCCGGCTACATGGGACACTTTTGGTGTCTGTATAGTGACACGTAGTCAAGCAGCAGAAAGGGTTGCAATTAATGCTGCCACTGATCAAATGAACATTAAAATATCACACAATTTTTAAAGCCTGCTTTCCAAACAGGTGTTAACACCTTGCTTGAGGGTCATTTGAGTAGCATTGTCATTATTTGTAGGAGTGCTTTAATCAGAAATGTGTATAGCACCTTCACTGAAGGGGCTTTCAAAGTGACCATTAATGAAGAGACTTTACAGAAGTCAGACTTACGGTCTGGATATTAGGACTCAGACCTCAGCCATTTGACGAAACTGCATCACGACTCAGTCTGAAAGGCTTCAGGTCTCATGAAAAACAACGTCAGGTGTCAAATCTCATACAGTTAGGAATCAGGTGAAACGCCTCAGACATTAATTTAATTTAATTTAATTTTAAAGTGCAATTTAAACTGTTCTGAAGTAACACGGGTAGCACATTAACCTTTTTTTCTTTCTTTTTAATGCATTTTGCAGTTGGAAGAGTGCTTTTTGAGAGAGGTCATTTTATCTGGTGCCTCATTGTACAAGACCTGACATCTGACATTGTTTTTCCTGAGACTTAAAGAGGTGTGATGTAGTTTCATTAAATGTCTGAGTTCTGAGGATGTCCTAAAATGTATACTATACAGTATATACACTGCGGCTACATGGGACGCTTGTACATTTGATACAATATATACGTATTAATGTATTTGTATGTTTGTTTTCTAACACATTATTTTAGAAATTAGCGTAAACTTTAGCAAAGCAAATACAAATCAGTCGAATGAGGAATCACTCATCATGGCACTGCTCTTGCCTGGAAATATAATATATTTCCATATTTTAATGTATGTTTTAAGTTTCAAAAGAATAAGCAAGAAGTACAAACGGAGACTTCAGCACTCATGGACCAGTAAATGTGTAATAACAGATGTTCTTTACACCATCTTACTGGTCTTGTCTTTTCAAAGACCAGAACATATCCAGGTTTCAATTTTCCAGGGCTTCATATAGTTCAATGCTTGGAGACCCAAAAAGAAGATGCACAGGCTTATTTTTAATTACAATCAATCACAGTATATCAAGAATGCTGACATTTTTGACTTTCTGCACTTGAATAAGAGAGAGAAAATAACCAGGTTGTACACACAGTTGAAGACGTAATTAGTAGCTAAATATTATTATTATTATTTATTTATTTATTTTAGAATAACTAACACTGGTCACATAGAAGATGGAAAGATGAAGGATTGACTATTTTACATTTTTTTATTACACACATCAACTTTTACACAAAGACAGTGAAAGAGTAATACACATGGATATATTATCTAACATGCAGATTTTTCTCTATTTTTTTTTTTTCAAGCAGTGAGTGAAAACATGTACATAGACAAATCTTACAATGTGTCTTCTGCGAGTTTCCAGCTTGTGCTCTGCTAACAAGTCCCTTGGCAATACCCGCGTCTCTCATCTTTTGAAGCATCTGCTTTGAGATGTTCCTTGTACTGTAGATGTTAAAGGACAGGTGTTATAAGAGATGTTACAGACATCTGCAGTTGCTGGGAGTGTCCAGAGGTAATTACGTTATAGTTTAACAAGCTGTTGAAAAGAACCAAGACGTGCACTCTCGTCACAGTTAGCGAGTACTTGACTTGATTTCAACAAAATACACTGAAGTGGCCAATCTGTAATATTTCCCCAGAGTTAAAAACACCTTTGGCACAATAGTAAAGTTTAGTCTTAAAGTAAAATGCTTTTCTAATACGGACAGTTCATAATTAGAAGTCAGAAGTCACTTTGTACTAGTGACATAAGAGTGTGTTAGCAAATCTCACAAATTAAATTTTATAACATGCATTAATGACTACCCTTGTGAAAAAGAAGAGTGCTTAATTGTATTGACTGTACTCTTGTATTGTACTTCAAATCTAAGAAGTTAGTACAATATAGCCTAAATAAAATGTTGCATGTACTGTACATAAAAAGTGCACTTAAAAAAAGTGCACTTTGTAATGCCAAATAAAAATTTCTACCTTAAGGTACATTTTAAATTTTCATTTGAATAATCTTCTGTCATACAGTATAGTACACACATTTTAATGTGTTGACTAACTGACTAAAGCATATGTAAAGTACTTGATTCTAATTTTATCCATAGTGTGTTATTCATATTTTGAATGTACTAAATTGTGACTCATTAATGTTTAATTACAAATATATGTAAATAAGTTATATGCAATTTTCAACTAAAAATGGCATTATTAAGGATATGTTTTATTAATACGTATATGTTAGTTTATCACTTTAAACATTTTTAAAGAAAGAGAATAGAAGAAATTCTGACATTACATAGAAAGCTGTACTCAAATCCTGCTTGGGGGGGGGGGGTTAAGTGTCCAAAACAACATGTCCTCCAACCAATACGCCCGTATAGGTCGGTTGTCCAAATCCCTGAAATACGACCCATCAGAGCGTATACTACAATTGCGCCCCTATCGGCAACAGGACACTTTCATATTAATGCTTTGTACTCTTTTATCTGCACCACAACTCGGGTTTCGTATAGCTCAGTTGGTAGAGCATCGCGTTATATGACAATATGCAATCATGTGATCATGGGCTCGATCCCAGAGAACGCATGTGCTCATAAAATGTATATGCACTGTAAATTTCAACTGTAAATGCACATGATTTCTGTGAGGGTAGGTTTAGGGGCGGGGTTAGGTGTGGTCATTCATACGAATTCGTATGAATTAGCCACCTAGTAAAATATGTAAAAATTGCCAGTGAGATCGTGTTGGACCATGCAAAAAGTCCACAAATTGCATTTAAATAAACACACATTTTGATTGGTAATTACAGTCATACGTCATTTCACGACGACAGACGCAACACAACACTGTCATTATTTGTACGCGCGCTAGAGGGCACTAAACTTTAAAACTTAAAAATAGGTCGTAATAAGGTGCGTGCACAAACGACCTATAGGGTCGTTTTTTGTTGGATGACAGTCTGGTCCAAAAAAATGACACTCATACTTGAATGTTCTTTAAAGGTTTTTGTTCCCCTACCCTGTAATAACTACTCTTTTTGAAAATATGCCACAGTGTACTTCTTTCTTAAAATGGTGTATTTCTGAATTTTCCGAAAAATTTACCGTTAAATGGTTTTTGCACAATGATTGGGTGTTGTGTATGGTTGCTAAAGTGTTCTGAGCTATTCTCAGCACATTGCTATGCAGTTACTAGGGTGCTCCTCAATAGTTGCTGGGATGTTCTGAGTAGTTCCAACGCAAGTCAGAAGAGCCCTCTATGATATTATGGTCCCTAGATGTGGAAATTGGAAAAACAATTATTTTTGCAGTTCTGTTTGGTGTCGTTGGTAGTGAAAAACACTTCACCTTTAAATACAGAGGTCATGTTTGAGAACTTTCTCTGGTTCCTGCTGCAGGTTCAGCCCGTACGAGTGGTATGACGCCCATCCGTGTAACCCAGGCTCCGATGTGGTGGAAAACAACTTCACCCTTCTCAACAGCTTCTGGTTTGGCGTGGGCTCCCTCATGCAGCAAGGTACAGTGCTTCTTCTGCAAACTCAACGCACTTTCCAAAGATGGCAAACAAGCCGAAAAACCTGACAACAGCATGATGTGACTGTCTTCCACCCTTTACCTGTCAAAACCATGTTGAGTTCAGACTTTTCTGACAGGAGGAGGAAGTAGTCATCTTGCTTGTCAGTGAGGCGGAGATGAGGGGTGTCAAACATCTGTCATACACACTGGCAGGTTAGAGGGATAACAGCAACATTTGTTTCCTGACACATCCGAGACCTTCACGATTGTGAGTTTGAGGTTGGGATGAAAGTCGACAGAAGACTGTCTCTATCGTAGCAAATGCACAGTGGGGCATCTCTGTGGTTCATCTCATCTTCGCTTGGCCAGATGTCCCACCCTCTATATGTTGTTCTCTTGCCTCAATGCAGTATTTTATTCATTCGTCACAGCTGGCACACGGCTTCAGAGTGACACAAGGAGATCATAAGAATATATAAGCTAAGCGTCATGCCTAACAACGCCCCTTAGCTGTTATAAATTCACTGTAAACCACGGCTTCATGGGGCTTATTGCTTTATTTGAATATCATTTTGCGTAAAAGTTAAAACTGTAATGAACCAGCAAATGTATTCAATAACAGAGATTGTATCAGTCACTCAATTTTAAAATGGTTTTTATATTTATGAATTAGGTGCTTATCCATTTCATTGCGATGATGGAAAGAACCCGCCCATGCGCTCGTCTGTTTGGCTGTAATTTTTGATTGATTTTGTTGCGGCTGGTGCTGACAGACAAATTGCTTGTCACTGGAATTTCATTGCATTGCATATCGGGTTAGGAAAATGACAAGGACAGATTAATTCAGACCAGTAGCCCATGTGCTTTTGATTCGTAAAAAGAACCGAGTCATACGAATCATTCATACACTGTAATTGTGTTTGTTTGTTGAAGTTGTAAATAGATTATTGTTCACACTTTATTTTAAGATCCAATTCTCACTATTAACTAACTATTAACTATGACGTTTGCCTCAATAAACTCCTAATTTGCTGTTATTAATAGTTAGTTGTTAAGTTTATTTATTGGGTCTAAAATATGGTCATGCAGAATAAGGCATTAATATGTGCTTTATGAGTACTAATAAACACTACTTGCTGTCATATGAAATATGTGATTCTAAGTATGTTTCTGCAAAACTGAAAAAAAACATACGAAGAGCTGCAGTTTCCAGTTGAAATGAACACTAGAGGCAGTAAAACTCTGACAGACTTTATTCCTTTTCACACAAAGTATGATTTGCAGGTCCACAGTTTTGATTAATAAAGCCTCATTTTAGCACAATTACTTGAAGAACATTACGTAATTAATTCAAAACCATTTTAACATGCTGTGACATTTGAAAACTGATTCCTTCGAAGGTTAGCGTCACATATCCAGCTTCATGTATATGGGTTTTCATGTTTAGTAGGTTTGCTCGGTAGCTCACGCAGTATGGAGTTGTGCTTGAGAGGTGAAGCGCTCTGGTACGAAAAAATAAAAAGGTTCGACAAAACAGTTCAAACCTGCATATGAGGAAGTTCAAATGGCATGGTTGCATCAGTGAATGTGTCTTTTTAGATCAGTTTTGCACTATCGTGTAGGTTTAGGGTTGGGTTTGGTGTAGGGGATATTTCCAACACGTTAGAGCATTAACTTTTAGAAACACTCCCTGGATATTTAAATTATGAACCACCGCAATACATACCTGAAGCAATGTAATAAAAGCACAGCAATACGTGCCTATATCAACCTAACAAAAACGTGCCAGGGTCACGCCACTCACTGGACATTTCACTTTGAAGTAAGGTACGTAATAACGATGTTGCAAAAGCGTACTTAGAGGCACGTATTTCCTTTGAGACCAGGTTGAATAAACAGCCAATATGCTAGTAATATGCATGCTAATTAATAGTGAGAAGTGGTCCTTAAAATAAAGTGTTACCAGACTAGTAGTTTTTCAAGTTGCATAAAATTATTGGAGTAAATTCGTCAAGAAAAAAAACTATTTATTTAAATAATTCTAGTGTAATTAATTGTGAATTTACTAGCTCTTCTTAGTGAATTTTTTTCTACACTTTTTTTCCAGTGTACTGTATGTGTTTACAAATTGGACTACACTGCTTGCACTTTGTTTGTTGTTACTTGCAACTAGGAAAGACAATGCAAAGATTGCGTTGTGGCATTCAGTTTTTCTCTCTCATTACGTTCAGTTAAAACCACAAGTTTACGATATGCATTAAAAATGCAAACTTTCAGCAATCATTAACAGAACCAAAATCATTTGGTTCCAGTATTTTAGTCTTTTAATGGAACCGACTTTGAATAAGAAGCAATTTCCAGCCTTAATCTGAGTTTTTATCCTAACACAACACCAAAGTAAATTACAGTCTCTCTCAAATATGATTTCCTCTAGTACCATTTTAAATATTTTCTTTGGCTCTGTGCTGAGGCGCCACCTCACAGAATTAGATGAAGGAAGCTATTAAAGACACACAGGGGTTGAAGCTGTTTTCACACCCCTCACAGGCACACATTAGCAAATGATACCCTCAAAACCATACGGCATAATAAAGCAGGCCAGGGAGTAATGAAATGTTTTACCTCATGTAAGGAGACAAATAGAAAATACACTTCCTGTGCCCACGGTGAATCTTTGGGGAGCGCAAATCTGCCACGCATTTCATTACGCATGAAATCTCCACTGATACGTGTGCGATACCTGTCAATTTGAAACAGTCTACCGAAACTAGCAGCCATGCAGTTTATGTATTGGGTGGATGGAGTTAGAAGTTCTCTCTTGACTTTAAAAGTTGTGAGATGTGTTGTTTACTCCAGTTGCATGAATGATTGATAATGATTTACGGTTCAACAGCAATTTAAAGTTTAAGTACTGTGAAATGATCAACTAGTGTTCGATGGTGTTAAAAATAAGATTTTATTTGTGTAAGAAGGGAATTCATTGGTATTGCAGCTAAGACAGCAGGTATAACAAAACTATTTAGTGAGCAGTTGGTATAAATATATAGTTCAGTCATGAAAATCTAGATGGTGCAGGCGACGGGTTGTTAACATAACTGATGATATTCAGAGAGATAAACGCATGGCACAAGCTGATTGGTTCATGCTGCATATGCAGCCAATGAGCTTACTGCCTTGCATTTATATGGCTGGCTAGCATTCACTAGAGATTCCTGCAGCGCTCTTTCAGAGTTTCTCTGAAACCCTCCACCTTCCCCAGCTCCACCTGTATAGATCTGCCACGGGTTATTTTATATGCTATTTGTGCAGCAGGAGTATGTCTTAAATACTCACGGCACCATATCGCCGTATGCAGAGACGCTGTGTGTTTCTAGGCGAAAGCAAAAATACTTTATTTGGACATCCGAAAGTAGATGCCTTGAGGAATCTTTAAGATTACTTACAACAGAACAGCAATGCATTTTATGGACGACCGTTTCGTGAACCTAGGAGAGGAGGTCATTCTGACTTTGCTATGACAATCTGGCGCTTCTGAATCAGCTACTGTTTTGTAATTAGTTTAAGTATTTGCTATTGACTGTTCAAATGCTGAGTTTTGCGCATCGTGTGTGTGTGTGTGAGAGAGAAAGAGAGAGAGAGATCACAGGGGAGTCAGCTGTCTTAACCGTGGCTTGTGTACTGCAAACACATACCAGCATCATCACTGTGTCTGTCACGCGACTCTGTTCCCCTTTCGGGCTCTGCCGTTGCATTTATTTTGAAAAATGAAGCTCGCGATTATGGTAAAGGGCGTTACATATCCGACGAGTGCTTGCGGTGTTCGGCCAATCACAATGCACTGGGTCAGCTGGCCAATCAGACTGCGCTTGTCGGAAGGAGGGACTTTGTAGAAAACTAAGCGTTTGAGAGAGGCGGGGCATAGAGGACCTACAATAATGTACAGTATTTGAAAAAGAATGTGTTTTTCGAACATTAAAGCGTGTCAACATATTCTGTTACACCAAATACACAAAATAATGATCTTTAAAAAAGCATCATATGACCCCTTTAACATTGTCATATCCATCACCATGCTAAAATCTTCCGAGAGTTGTCATGATTGAAATTTTCTTCTGGACACCAATGGGATTTAATTACTGGGGGAAAATGCACCTTGAATCAGGCTAAGGTGGTGTTCTGGTCTGCCAGTTGTCTATTTTATGTCTATTTTGTTTCTCCTAAGAATTTTTAAGAGAAACATTTGAGACAAAGTTGATAGCGTAATGGGACACACATTAAGAGTAATACAATTATTGTCTGGAAAGGTATAATCCAAGAAGTAAATCCAATATTATTGCAGCTACAGCAAGACAGCAGGAACTACTGATGAAAAATGAGAATGAATAAAACCTGACACTAAACAACTGGCATGAATACAAAATAAATGTTTTCACATGTCAGAAAATACCAGACAGTTGTCTTAATTCTTTTCTACATTGTCATTTTTCAAACATGTCCTGTCAGACAGGAAGCTCCTTCATGCTAGTAAGCGGCAGTTCAGCTGAAATGATAAAAGCACAAAAGCTCATTTTTCATCTCTGTCCAAAAATTATTCAGGTTAGACACAACCGCTCAGCAAAAACGGATGTTTCATTCTACAAAATGCAGATTATTACATGAAAAATGGTCTGTTTTTTTGCAAGTTGCTTCTGAAAGAGAAAACAATATAAATAAATAAATCTTCCAAACCCACCTAAGGTGCTTGGCTGGTTATAGAGGGGGCTGATCAACTAAACAAGCTTAAACCAGCAAACCATCTTAGGCTGGTTTCTTTATGCAGAGGTATGTCTGTTTGCCATCGACTTACTGCAAAAATGTTAATTTGGTCACTGCTGAGCTTTATCAGTTTGCTCAGTTTCCCTAATTCGAACATATCTTTAATTCTTCTTCATGCTATTGTTTAAAACATTATTGCTTTGGCACACACTGATAGTGAAAAGGGCTAAGTAGTGGGCTGAATATTGAATACTAGCCTCCGGCACTGAGCCACACTGTGACTTTCTTCTTCACGAGAAGAAGGTGGGAATGTTAAGTGCAGGTAATTATTCTCATTTGGAAATGCTTTAACTTCGGCCAGGCTGATGTGTTTCAGAGCTTGTGAAAGAAATAGCAGGACAGGGAAAAGCAGGTCATCATAATTACTATCACTCTGAAGCAAACCCATAGAGAATAACCCACAGACGGCCACAGTTTAGCAACTTTGCCTTCCTTACTTTTACACAGCGATAAGCAGGTGTTTAGCTTCAGCGTTATGCTGGAAAATCTGTCAGCTGGTTGTTTGTCATGAAATCAGCATTTCTTTAAGAGCTTGCACACTGAAACATGATAAGGAACATCCAAAACAGCAAGACCACAAACCAAAGACTCTCTCTCACAAAAGCCAATTTGATTGTGTATGTTGTGGTAAAATGATTTTTATTTAAAAACATAAATAAAAAAATAGCTTGTCAACTGTATTTTAGCCAATCCTGAGCCGAATGAAGGTGAAGGTAAAGGTGTCTGTGTGAAAGACACGCTGGAGTTTGCAGTTTTCTAACTTATCATTGCATTGTTCACTGGCTCCTTTCCTGAAGGAACTCTGTTTGTCCATCATCCCTGTTTTTCTTTGGTTTGACTCTCTGTGTATATGAGATGAGCTGCATGTGGACTTTGAATGAATCAAGACTTTAGATAGTTGGATAGTTTGTGCAAGGGAAGAAATTATATATATATATATATATATATATATATATATATATATACAGTCGTGGTCAGAATTATTGGCACTCTTGGTAAATATGATCAAAGAAGGCTGTGAAAATAATAAATCTGCATTGTTAATCATTTTGATCTTTTATTTAAAACAATTCACAAATATCTAACCTTTCATTGAACTAAAACAATTGAAAATAGGGGAAAATATCGTTATGAAATAAATGTTTTTTTCTCAAATACACGTTGGACATAATTATTGGCACCCCTAGAAATTCTTATAAGTAAAATATCTCTGAAGTATATCCCCATTCATATTTACAATTTTGAGCACACCAGGGTGATTATGAAGGGGGAGGAACAATAACAGGTGCTCAAGGTTAAGAGAACAGCGCAAATGCCAGCATGCCGTAGTGTGAAGCTGGAAAGTGTCACTGTAATGGAGCCAAGGCTCTGGAGGGGGGGGTGACTTTTTTGAGGATATTGTGCATGTACAGTATGTTGGAACTAGTAAACCTTCTACTCTATGTTATGCTTGTAACTATGATTTTCTGTTGGAAGATGGCAAAACACGGTCACAAGTCACAAAACAATTGTGAAAAGAAGCATGTTATGCAGGGAGGTTGACATTTTTGTTAAAACCATTTCAGGATAAACACACATTCATAGATTCTTATGAAATGGCATAACAGTATGCAATTGTATACATTATGGATACAAATTAGCATGCAGCTCCAGTTTTGCAAGAGTTGGTTATTTCACACAAAATAAGCACAAGGAAAATTGTTTCTGCTTGACCAGCCATCGTTTAACAGACACTTTTATTCAAAGAAATACACAGTACATTTATTAACGGGTTCAGTCACTCTGGAGTAACCTGAGGTTAAGTGTCTTAATCAAGGGCACAAAGGTGGTAGCTCATGAATCTCCCCTTGTGCATCATCCTTTCACATATAAACCTGAATCTTTAACAACAATGCCACACCATCCTACTGCTTAACATAACATCAGTGGAAACATGTCTCTCTTCCTACATAAATTAAAAACATAAAGGTTTGCATATAATTTACTACAGTTTCAAATTAAAATGGACACTAGTGGCAACAAATTATATTCTTTTTAGACATTTGTATCACTTAACCAGCTCTATATGTATGGCTTTTCCATTGAAGTAAACTTGCTTGGTAGCTCACCTGGTAAAGCACTGTACTTGTGATGCATGAAAGCTTAAAGACTTATAAGTATATAATAAAGCTATAATGGCATGGTTTCTTCAGCAAATGTGTTTTTATCTCACGTTTTTGTTTACACTATCGGTTGGGTTTAGGGTAGGGTTTAGTAAGGGTTTAGAAGAAATGTAATATAATTTTACTCAAATGTTGCCACGTGCATTTTTTTCAATGAGTCTGAGGTGCTATTGATCCCCCTTTAGTTTTACTTTCCATTTATATATATTGTTCTGACCACCAACAAGAGGGATTTCCAAAGAATAAAAACACTTGCTACTTTTGATTAAAAACTAACAAAAATATGCTTCTCTTTTTCAGAAATCAAGAGTGTCTACATTTGAGAAGATGTGGGCTTTCATGAGTAGCAGGCAGAGCACGTCGTTTGTCAAGTCCATTGAAGATGGGATTCAGAGAGTGTTAAAGTCAGACTACGCCCTTCTAATGGAGTCAACGACCATTGAGTATGTGACACGCAGAAACTGCAATCTCACGCAAGTCGGCGGCATCATCGACAGCAAAGGTTACGGCATCGGCACCCCAAAAGGTAAAACCACCCACCATTATGACACAGATAATTCTGACTCTGATTGGATGATACACACTATAATTGGTTGTACTGTAGAATGGTAATATGTGCACAACTTTGACTGTACTTTCTACTTTTTATCTTACACAATTAAGACATATTTGGTGGAAGAATTACTGTGTATTTAGTTCAGTTATATTTAAAAACAAATGTGACCATGTATTGAACATTGATGACAAACTTTGGGGTGAAAAAAAATTTTTTGGGGGACATCCCTCCAATTGTCTCCATTTCGATAAAAGATAGAAGTGTGTGTGTGTGTGTGCACAGGTTTAAATGGCTTATGAGAACACAAATGGGTATACTGTAATGGCATAGGTACGACAACATGAATATGGTTTAAACCAAATGGCTTAAAAACAAAAAATGTGAAACTGTGAGTGTGAAATTGTGTACTGAATTGTGTGTGTATTTTTTTTCTTTAGAGGGTAGGTTTAGGGGATAGAACATCACCCATCAGTTGCAAAACGGCATGCTTATTATTTGGAGGGCACTTTTATGTGTCTGAACCTAACAAAAATTAAATGTAAGGACGTATTTAAATAATTAAAAATGCAATTGTTAAGTAAAATCAAGTTTGTCCTAAATAAGCAGATTGTTTCCATGCTTTTCACATTATGTAAGTGAAGCTGTGGTCACAGCAGACTTTATGCTCTATTCACTTCCATTCATATGCATGTGAATCAAAATTAAAGTGAATGAACTCTGACCTGTGAATATGCATAGCACAAAGATAGTTGACCAATAGCAGATGAAAATTCTGACCTCTTAGCTGAATTCATAAAATTAAAGGCAGCTTACTTTGCAGTGTTGAGGGCTTTGAAGTCATATTAAATGCTTAAAGCCTTGTGTGACTACAGATTTACACAGTATTTATAAAAAAAAAAAAAAACTGAGCGTGAAATGGAGTGGGTTACACCGTGTGTGTGTGTGTGTTTGTGTTTGGGTGTATATAATGCTTTGTTGAAATGCTACTGCTTTCAAGTGTGGAATGCTAAATCTATTTAGATTTTTTTTCTGCTAATGTTGTATCATATAGAAAAAGAATATGTGTGTGTGTGTGTGTGTGAGAGAGAGAGAGAGAGAGAGAGAGAGAGAGAGTATTATTCCAACTTTCAGATTTATCAAGTTTATTAGTTAGTTGATAATTAGATGCCTTTCTTGAATTAAATCTTTTGAAGAAGAAGAAGAAAAAAAAAACTTGTCCTTAGTCTTCTTTGTATTCGAGTTTCCAATGAAGATTCTCATCTATTAATTAATTTCTTTCAGGCTCGCCATACAGGGATAAAATCACAATTGCCATCCTCAGTATCCTGGAAGATGGCCGTCTTCACATGCTCAAAGAGAAGTGGTGGAGCGGCAGCAACTGTCTGGAAGACGAGCGGTATGAAACGGGTCCCATGGGCATCCAGAATCTGGGCGGCATATTCATTGTATTGGCGTCTGGTCTGGTGCTGTCAGTGTTTGTGGCTATAGGAGAGTTCATCTACAAGATGCGAAAAAATGCAGAACGTGAACAGGTGAGATTGATTGAAAATTTATATTAAAATACAATGCTTGACTAACAAAGAAAAACACAATTATTAGTTGTGTTTATACTTTCAACGCAGCAATTGTAATGCTCTTGCAAATATGCAGAACTAAACATCAAACAATGTCCTACCAAACCTCCCACAATACCCTAGCAACCACCGATAAGACCCTAGAGCATGCCTAGCAAGGCCTTGTGCAGAGTCACAGATTTTAGACATCCTGAAATGAAGACGTTCGGCATGCTGACTAAAGCTGAGTGTTCATTCACACCTGATAACATCACAGAATGGATCTGTTATTTGAGAAAAGAGATGAATAACCGATCAAACATCAAAAAGCATAGCAAGCAAATCGCAAATCACTTCCTTTCTATGTAGACACATTTCACAGATAAGATGCCAGTGCTGGAGGTTGACATTTAAACCGCTTTGATCATGTATTTGAGTGTAAAAGCACACTTAAAAATGGGATTTTTTTTATCACACATCTCACCTCAAAATTAATTATATTCCCTACTGAACTGGAACATTGTGTTATTTTTTTTATCCACATGTTGGAGGTTATTTTAAGGATTGTTTTTGGTCTCACTGATTTAGAAGCAGCTATACACTGAAGACAAAATATCAATCTATTGTTCTGGTCAAAATAAACTTTAATATTTGAATTGCATATACGAACAGCATGTAGAATACAAAAGAAAACTTGTCTTGAACATAAAGTTTACATACCTCTGTGTATCTTCTATATAATGCTGTACTACTAAAGTTCGGGCTCAGTTTTTTAATTTTTTTGGAATTACTCAAAAGTGTCAGTAAATACATTTATAATAATACAAACTATTTCTATTTCAAATAACTGCTGTTCAGTAACGTTTATTCTTTAAAATATTCTAAAAATATATCGGGTTCCACAAAAATATTAAGCAGCATTGATTTCAACATTGATAATAATAAGTAATGTTTCTTGACCACTAAACCGTCATATTAGAATGATTTCTGAAGGATCATGTGACACTGAAGTCTGGAGTAATGATGCTGAAAATTCAGCTTTGCATCACATGGATACATAACTTTTTAAGATATATTAAAACAGAAAACAGCTATTTTAAATTGTAATAATATTCCTAAATTTTACTGTATTTTTGATCAAATAAATGTAGCCTTGGTGAGCATAAGAGACTTCTTTCAAAAAGCAAGGCTAGAAAAAAAACTATTTAATATGCTGACACACTCAGTTACTTTTAGCTCTCTACCAGAATGGCTCCCTCAGCTAATGGACGTGAACGTACTTACTTCCTCTTTTCTGTTTGTCCTCCCCCCCCAACCATGTCCCTTTTTTTCCATCAAGAGGTCTTTCTGCAGTGTGGTGGTAGAAGAGATCAAACTGTCGTTCACATGCGAGAGACGGGTGAAACACAAGCTCCACCGCCAGCCGCCAGCCATGGTGAAGACGGACGCAGTGATCAACATGCACTCCTTCAACGACCGTCGCCTGCCAGCAAAGGACAACATGAGCTGCAACCCCGCGATGACGCCCGTGTTTCCATGACTTGCCTGGGCGACGGCCACCTGAGGCACGTCCCCGGCGCCATGCCGGAGAGCAGGGACTACGGTCCCGAGATGATTACAGCATTCACCATCAACCGCAGAGACATCCGACACCAAATGGCCAGTCAGAACGGTGGCAGTAGCAGCAAACCAGGTAGTGACCACATCCTCAAACCAATGTATCCCACCATGCCATTGCGAGAGGGAGGCCGATCGGTATCCTTCCTGTGAGAGCGAGCCACGTCTGCGAAACTATCCGCACCCGAGTCTGATGTTTACAAACGGCATTCAAAAGCGAAGCTCACGATCTGACTCGAAGGAGCCCCCCGATCAAACGAAAATATATGTTTCTCATTGGAACAACGTGAAAATGTGGAAAAGAGGCTTTTTTTGAGCATGGCAATAAATGAAACTACGGACAGACTCGAATGGAAGTAGTTTTCTTAGAGTAACATTTATAGCACATCAAGTTAATTTCGAAGAGTTCTGACGATTTATCTTTTGATTTCGTCAAAATCCTGTGGCGTTTTGGTGGGGACGCAACAAAAAAAGCGCAGTGAATGCGATGTACATTACCGGTTAGCGTCGGACCGTAGGAGCAGTTTAGTTTAACACACTGTACCGCAGCAGCCAGCGTGACCTGCTAGAATAGTAGAAAACCCTTAGACTGCAAGTTCCCGAAGGCTACGGGGAGTGTAGGGGCATCCTACGCTCACGGAAATGCACAAACTAACAGGGTTGATTTCATTCGAGCCACCTAAACAAATTGGCAAACGAGTAACAATTCTGTACAGCAGTTTTGAGCAAGACTTGTCCCATTTTGATTTATTCATGCTTCATACATTGCCAGCAGATGTTTTGTACACAGCGAGATCTAATGGTAATGACGGATAAACCCAACAGTTGCCAAAGATCTGTCGTCCAAATGGATTTAGACGCTTGAAACGCAGCTTCCCCTACAGACAAGAGAGCGAGTGACACGTTGCCTCCGCTGTTTGTTAAATGAGTTATTCCTGAGAATCACAGCCCTCGTATCAAGAATACTCGCTTCACACGGTACCTACCGAGGATTCAACACAAACACAGAGCTTGCCGTATGGTGGAGAGCTAATACAAAGGAAACTAAACCGTTTTAAGATGTACATGAGTGAGAATGTCTCTCGCCGTGTATCTGTTCGACAAGTCAGTTTTGATTACAGTGGCTTTTTCCATCTGCATCTGCGTGAGACCTTTCAGTGTCAATGTGTTTGAATTACAGAATTTGTAAGTGGCGTGGACTTCGTCAGAAAATGTAATGAAAAAACATCTGGATGTTTTTTTTTTAAATTATTATTCCATCTTTCATTCTTCTTGTTGTCAGGTTTTTTTTTTTTATATATATATCTTACATTGCTAAAAACAAACTCAATAAATTAGCTTAAAGGAATACACTTAAACTGAAAATCACATAGTTCCAACATAGTTATTTTTATTTATTTTTTCCCTGAAACACAAAATAAGATGTTGGGCAGGATGTTTCAGCTGCACTTTTCTATACAATGAAAGCTGAAGGTGATTTATACTGCCAAGCTCAAAAAAAGGTTAACGTGCACCTTAAAATTAGTCCAAGATGAGACATCAAAACCTGGCTCTGCCCTGACAGAGAGAAATATTATCTTGAAAAATGAATTTTGCATTTTGGTATGTTTCTCACAGATAGCTCTGATGTAGTTGCAAATAATATACAAGTATAAACTAATTTTAAGGCCCGTTTACACTAGGAACAATAACTATAACAATGACTATATTAGCGTCCACACCAATGGAATGATAGCTTTGACAAAAAGAGTAATGTTCTGTGTGCATGCAGTTTTGTCGTCGTCTGCTTTAAATGCTTAAGCTCTTAAGGGTGCTTTAAAAAAATGAAATCAACGCGACATGGCGCTAAAACATAAAACTGTTTACCTCAAGCTCTTATCCCTTCCTTTTTTGCCGCTTCCACTTTTTTCAGCACACATAAAAACTACAACTGCTTAAGTGTGATTTATCATGCTCTTTTTGTTTAGGATATCACTAGCGCATGCTGATGACGTTTTATTCTTATATAGTAACGTGCGTCGTATCGTACTGTACGAGTCAATAGGTGTCATCATCGTACAGTCTACACACATGTCATAGCCAAGTTTATGAGATCCATGTCACACTACTGTATGTGACATGCAATGAACTTATAGGATCGCTAAAATCGTGCAGTGTGTCTCGTGGGTGCGCGTTCAGAATACAGTGATCCAAATGAACCAAACTTTTGATGTCAAACAAATCCAGGTGCATACCAAAAGTCAGGTGGATCCTGATTGGCTGTCAATGTTTTTGATGTGTATCAGCTGGGGAAAAAAATTTCTGAAAGTGATTCCAACGATATCCAACTTCCCTATCTTTATAGAATTCGAACAATAATTAAAACTTTAGTTATAGTCATCATCTATGGTGTTGTGCATATGATGCCTTTATTGTTATACTTGGAGTTTGGCAGAATGAATAATCTCCCGCTTTTGTTGCACCGAAAAGAGTAACTGGACATTCTGGCAAAAAATGTATTTTAGGTTTCACAGAAGAAAGAATATTTACTCTTTTGAAATGACATTAGGATCAGTAAACGATGTGGGTGACTCGGCCCAATAGAAAGTTCATTTGAAGTAAATTCATTGATTTCTTATATTTTTTCATGTATTTTGTACACTTTTTATTTTGTACACTATGATATCATTCCTAAATCATCAGGTAGCTTTGGGTGGTTCCATGCGGTTAATATTGGTCATATTTTAGTGCCATCATTTAGGTGTGCTTCATTTCAAAGTATTTACGCTGTTCTCAAATTCATTTTGCATGACTGTTCTCCTCCTGTATCCAAACCTGACGTTAAGATTTCAGATGATCAGGATGCTAGGTGTAAGAGGGTAAATGGGCTTTCACATTTGCATATTTGATTCTTCATTCAATAAAGAGAGTGACGGCTACAGTAAAATTGCAATACAAGCGTGTTGAACATCAAAAGTGCAATACAGATGTACGGAACTGGACCTTCTCATCTCTGAACGTGACAAATTTTTCAGCCGAGCATTTAGTGACAGTTCTTATAGGTAGTTGAATCCATGTGTCGTCTACATGTGGGAAACTCTACTAAGCTACTAAATGTTCTCATGATGAGGTGTAGGTGCTAAGAGTCTTCACCCGCTGCCCGCCCGCCCACGGCAGCTCGACCAATGACAGACCTCCGTGAGGTCAATCTAATGGACAGTGTCGAAAACAAAAGCAGAAAAAGAAAAAAAAAAAGCATTTTTGTGTTTTTATGGTGAATTATGTGTCGATCAGAATAACTTCATGTGACTCGATGTTTCTTTGGTGAAAGCTCATTGTATATGTGTTATTCAAATTCTGTGTAATTTCAACACTCTCTTGCAAAGTAGGGTATATATTAGATGAACAGAAAATTACTGTATTTTGCTAAATACCGATGATTTTTACCTGTATTTTTTTCCTCAGCTCTTCTCTTCTTGATAAGTTGTGCAATGCTATATCGAGTGTGGTACATGCATATTGTAATATAGGATCTACTCTTGAGAAACTACTAAAACGGAATTAAAGAACAATAATTTAAAGCCCCGGGCCCCAATTCCAGCACATTCAGTTCCATTAATAGAAGGAGTTGATAGGAGATCTGAGTGATGTATGTGAGACCTCCAGATATTCTGCAACATAATGTACTCATATCAGATGTATATAAATAAGACATAGACTATTCAGAGAAGAATATGATGACCGGTTCCGTGTCATATCCATATCCTTGTCATATCCGTGCTTTCCATGAACACTCATAATGGATATTTGGCTTATTTATTTATTCCCCACCCCCCTTTTTTTTCTCCCACAGTGTTCAAAAGGCTCGATAGATTCTGTAGAATTTTCTACATTGCCAAATCTATGTCTAATCACTTACTCAGTCCTTTCTCAAAAAAAAAAAAAAATTCTTCAGTGAAAATATATCATAGTATGATTCTTGCTCACTAAATAGTTTATTTGACAGGTTGTCTAAATACAATTTTACAAAACAGACCCCTTCAACAACATAAAAGAAGTTATATCATTAAAGATAAAAAATATATAATAAAATAAAATAAATAAGGAATAGTTCACCAAAAATGAAACTTTCATTGCTGTTTCTCGTGTTGTTTAAAACCTGTTTTCAGTGGAACAAAATGGAATGTTTACACAGCTATTTCCATATAACATAGCATAACATAACATAAAACATTTAAAAAAATATTGTGACAGTATTTCAAGTCTTCTGAAATTATATATCTTTTTTTTTTGTTTTATCGTTAACCTAATACAATTGACATATAGTGCTAAGTCATTTGAGGCCTATTGTACTAAGGCTACATTTTTGGGCTACCCAAGTTGCTTTGTTTAAGCAATAATTTTTATTTTTTCTCTCTCTGTCTCAAGAAGGATAAACTGTTCTGTTTTATTCTGGGTAAGAGATTGAAAAACTGAAATTGGTGTGAATGTTTGCTGTACGAAAAATGACACGTCTGATGCAATAAGGTATATATTACTGTAAATTAAATCCGTTTGAATGCATTGCACATGAGGAAATTTGACAATATGACATTTTTAATATAAATCGTGTAATTAAAAGATTTACATTATTGTGAATACAATCTTTAGAATTAGTATAGAAACTTTAAAAATGGCTAAAAGCTTACATGTTTTCTTTTAAGTTTGTTGTGAACATATATCGATTACTAGCTAAATAAATTCAGCTGATTCACTTTGAGTCATATAGCATTTGTATAGTCTTTCAGCTGCTTTCAAGCTTTTGCGGCAGCAGTGGTATTACTTTCTGCTTTGTAAATGGAACAAAATGATAACTCAATCTTCCACACAAACATGAATTCCACCAACTCTGTGAAGTGAACTGACTCTGTGTTCCATATGATTGGCAAACATGTCATACTTTTGGGTGCACATGCTTCAGAGTGAATCATAAAGTGTTCGGTTTGGTTTTCTGAAACTAGTAGTAGCAACAGGCCTCTGCATTACCTTTAATACATTTACATTTTTTATTACATTTATTTTTGACAGACTTGGTCATTGTCAGCTTTTCTTGTAATGGAAATGAGCGATGTGAGTATCAAAACATTATAAAAAAAATCACATGAAGGTTATTAAATAATGCCAGAATGTATTCGTTTTTGTGTGAACTATTCCTTTACTTTCAATGAGGAGTTGTCACCTTGTGTGTAGCACTTTAAGGATGTTGGAAACTACATGGTGGTAGATTACAAAATAATTATTGAATCGGATTAAATCATATATTTACACTGTGACACATTAATTGTAATTAATGACTTAGTATCATTTGCAGCAACACAGAGTGAATACCATATTTATCACACATGCCTTCATATCTAACTGATGAAAGACCATGAAGTATTCCTTTCTATCTGTATTAATCGCATTACATTGAACATTTACTTTGGATATTGGAGCAATCAGTCCTATTTACGGAGCATAAACATCTATTTTATAAAAAAGAATGAAGAAACAATGTGAACATTGCTGTTTTACAAAATTGTATGAAACAAAAAGAAAATAAAATGAAATTAACTTTTACAAATCTTCTGTTTTGTTGATGTTTTGCCTGTGGTGTTTATTCATATTCGTCCATTTGATTTCCCCCTCTTTGTCTATTTTCTGCTTCGTCTACAGTGGAATAATGTAAGAAGG